AATATTGACATATTTTTCATCGCCTTCGTGGTAATAGCTGTATCTTAGCTGCGCCATACATTATTAAGTAGTTTTTAGTTAATAACTCGGGCTAATAATTAATAACTATTATTAATTATTAATAATTCAGGAGGTCCCATCACTAATTGGGGCTACTCAAAAACCAAGAATTCGTATGCTCAATAGAGCATAACCTACGAGACTCCACCATGAAACGACTAAAACTCAGAAAATCCAAAAATAGACAAAGCTACGATTCAGACACAATCAATCGTAACAATAGAACAAATACTTACCGAATACTCAAACATACCACTTGTATAACAAAAATGGATGAATTAACCCATACAAGGAAATTCCCGGCAATGCTTCATCCGGACATGTAGATCGATGTGTAAGCCTGACAATTATTCTAAAGTAATCGAATTTGTAATTGTCAAATTATTTGTGTTAAACGACTAACTCTGGGGGACTATATCTACCTAATATCTGAAAGCTCCCTAATTTTAGTTTTAATTGATAATGTTAAATGAATCGACATCAGAAACCAATCAAGGCATCGACCAAGTTCTAAAAAAAAGGGTGATAATACGGTAAAGGATGTAAAAATAAAAGAATGAAAAATAAAACAAGTGAATAATAAGATAATAAAAATAGATCGGTTTTTCAGGAATTAAAAAAATAAAGATTGAGAATTTCTAGATATCGAAGAAACCATTTTGAAAGACAATATTGTTTTTTCTTATACAGTATATTTTGGAAATTGCCTGAAGAAAGAAATAAGTGACTCCTTATACTTCGAACATTGTTTCTATTCGTTACTTAATTCAATACCTCGAAAACACCAAGCTTACCATTCATTATTTCTGAAACATTCTAAGAACTTGATCTGATTCAAGTGTAAGACTCGAAGTACTCCCATCTAGCGATGGGAATTTCTAATTATTAACAATTGATAACAAATTGTTAACTATATAAATTTTTTAATTGTTAAATATTTATATAGTTAATAATTTGTTAACAATCGTTAATATAGAAATTCCCATCGCTACTCCCATCGTTAATACTAATATGAAGAAAGTTATAAAAGCACTGCCCGAGAACCTCTCTTTTCTCATAATTTCACATTATACCGTTAACATTAATAACAATATAAAATTCTTATAATAACTTTGCGAAATTCTTTCAAATTACCCAATATTCAATTTTTTTTTATTGAAAGACCATGAAGCCAATCTACGCCTTTGTTCTTTTATTCACTGTTCTCACAACAATCGTATTCTTCGTTGATGCAACAGTTTTCAAGCGTGATCTAGATTCAAAAGCTAAAACTGAAGCTCTTAGAAAACGTATTTATTTATTAAAAAAAATTTTTTTATTTTTTTTTTTAAATTTCATTAATATTAACTTTTTTTGTGTTAAAAAAGGGTACTGGAATGATTACGATTATGATGGTGGTCGTTATTACGGTGGTTGGTGGCATGGTCCACATATAAACGATGAAAGTTATAGTCACGATGAATATTTAAATTACAAAGACTCTGATAAATATAATAGGTTCTATTATAATGATTAGAAGAAAGGTCTTTTGCTTCTTAGAAAGGAAATTTTATAATTTTTTTTTTAGAAATTTATAGTAATTGTAATAGCTTATAATAATAATATCGTAGTTTTTTTTTTCTTTTCTAAATAATAACCTAGCTCTTTTGATTTTTTTTTTTTCATTGGTTGACCTGTGTTATGGTCATTGAATAAATGATAAATTGTCTCAATAGATAAAGTATTTCGAAGTAATACAGTGTTTCGTAAAAGCTCGTCCGGGTCAAAAGTTATTTATTATAACGAACTTCCGGTTTAAATTGCACGAATAAAAAAATGCTTTAAAAAAACTACCAGACTTGAAATATACAACCTTACAAAATCACAATGTATGAATGAAATTCAAAGGTATCTATTGTTCGTCCAAAAAAAAAAAATCCAAGTTCACCCTTTAATAAATGGTTGTTGTGCCCATAATGAGTCAATCACTCGAAAAGATCACATTTTCTCCTTGTTCGAATTTCCTAATTGTCCAAACCTTCTTTCGTACCAAACATCATTCGATAGTCATGGAATCAACGCATGTATCTGGTAAACCTATTTCATGGCACATTCTTTACTTATTTATGATCGACATGTCTGATTTACCTTTAAAGTTTTAATATTTTAATATGGGAGGTCCGTTAAAGCCAGGTTCGTTCACATATTGATTTACATGTTGCATGTATAATGTTGGTATTTATGTCCAATAATTTATAATTATTGCATTGTGTCTGACATAACAATCCCGTGCCAATAAGTAAATGAAAAAAAGCACGGGTTGTAACTAATGATGCAGACATTTCTCAGAGAGGTGACTACTTACGGCATTACGACTATGACGTAGAGGTCGTACTACCTCGAGATTATATTGAGTAACGTAGTATGCCGTATAGCGTTACTACCTTGAAAATTTTCGTTGGCCAATCAAATTTCAAGTAAACACGTATATGGTTCACTAGGGTAGGTGGCATGGTAAAATTTTACTAACCAAACTTTACAGCAAATTCAGCAAAAAAAAAAGGACCAAGTAAAACAAGACAGAGATATGGCCATGATATAACCCACATAGTATTGCTACTAAAATTAAATACGCATATATAAAGTTAAATTCATTTACTTCATCGATGATAAATATATTTAGAACCTTTTTAAAAAAATTATCAAGTTTTGAACTACAGTAGATATTGAATTTCAATTAAAAAAATAAAAAAATATAAATACTCAATATAGATTTTATGATATTGTGAATTTCATTTCCAATATCGACCAATCATATTCATAATGATCTTCTGTGATCACATTATAGGGGCCCTAGCGCTAGGGGCATGCCCAAGGACCCATGCCACCTATCCTATGGTTCACATGTTTTACACAATTCTAATCAATTTTCGTATACCATCCAACCTAGGTTGCTGAATATACATAACCAAATCCAATTTCTTTGACATTAAATACAGTATAAGCGCGAAATAACGTTCACCTGCGCGTTATTTCGAATACGCCCATGTGTGTTATTTCGAAATAAGAGTAGATCTTCTAAATTCATTACAGTCAACCTTCCATAACTGCACGATTTTGGGTAAAGTGCATTTATAGAATATTCGTTTATGGAACGTAATCTACATATCATTAGATCGATGTGCACTTATCATTCATTATAGGAAAGAGCACTTATAGAGAGTGCACATTTGGAGTATTATTTATTGCAACAATAAATTATGTGCTACATTAGAATGCGCGTTAATTCGGGATGCCCATGAGCGCTAATGTCGAGAACGTATAATTTATTGAATGAAATCCGTTCAATTGCATTCCTAGGTTCTAATAAATTCTCTGATGCAATCATTAGTATTCTCATTTTGCTTGTTGGGATCACATACCAAACACCATGCTTTAAATATGTTATCTTTATTACAATGTGTACTTTTACCGTATCTAGGTTACCGTTATAGTCATTGCAAAATATTATATATATTTTTTATATCATTAAAAATTTATAGTAATACTCACTGACCGAATAGAATGGTAATCTGAAGGGTATTAGTTAGTTAGTAGTAAATAAGTGTTTGTAAACATGAATCACTTTTTTAATCCACCATTAATAGATCATCTTCCCACTAAATTAATGTATACGGTTAGGGATGGTAAAAAAACAGGTTAAAAATGTTTAAAACATAAGCAGCAGAGTCTGATTTGTTAATTTCTGTGCCGATGATACAATACTCGCTTCAAAAAAATTTTCATATGAAAAAATATTCAATTAAAATTGACATATTTATTAAAATATTTAAAATGTAAAGAACTTAAAAATGCATTTGCATTGCATTTAAGATACAGATTGTGTGATTTTTTTTTTTTTAATACTAGCACCAAATTAAAATATATACCCTGCTATTATTTAAGCACATTGACGATAAATTTTAATTATCATTATCATTAAACCAACCATCCTCTTTAATACCTTTTTGAATTCTCAAAGTTTGATAGATGGTTATAAGCTTTTTTACTTGGTCATTGTCTAAACGTGCACGATGTTTAGTATGAATATAGCCAAAGTAGATCAACAATGTTCTGCAGCAGCTGAAGAAGCCAGAATTGAGAGAACTTGGCAGGCAAGCTCAACCACAAGCAGAAATTTATTAGAAAAATTTGATTTCTACCAACTAATTGGACTTGAATGCTCAACAGATGCCCAAAGCAATAATCCAGAGAATTTATCAGTTTTAGCAATATATTTTTGAATAACTCTATAAATCTTTAAATAAATAAATAAATATCTAAAAATTGAGACTTTTTTAAATAAAATATCTTAATATTTATATATGTTGCAACTTGAAATGTATAGATTTTTTCAATATATAGAATAATGATGTTTTCAAGATCATTCTGCTTTAATGATTTTCCACGAATCCTAAATATAAATTTTTTATTAATATATATATATATCAATATTAAAATTTTTTAAATATAGCAATAAACTTACTGAGGATCTAAAAGATTTGCAATTACCATTGCGAAATGAAATGCAAAATCAAACCGGTTGTCAATTAGATCAAGAACCTTTAGTTTAAAATCCAAATTTAAATCACACAAATCAATTGATTCACGGAGTAGTTGCTATTCAGATTGGACATGTGAAAGTAAAGGTTCATCAGATTCAAATACATGTATAAGCTTAACAAATGGCATCAAGAATGATGCCAGTTTTTCTAGTTCTTTCCACATTAAATTATTAAGTATTTAGTTTCTAAGATTATGTGCAATTTTTTTATTGACTTCTGGTTGTATAACAGTCATTTGAATTTCTAATTTGCATCGAAGAACAGAATTAATCGCATTTAAACAAGTTCCCCAACAAGTATCTACAGGGGTTGAACCAAGCTAATCATATTTGGTTAATTCAACAAGATCGATTCTGCTTTGGGGTGTCCTTGAAAAAAACTAATGATCTGCTTTGCATTATTCATTAATTTCTCTACATATTTGAGTTTAAATACATCTTTAATTAAAAGATTACTAATATACACATTACAACCCAAACAAACCAATCAAGAATAATCTTTGTTTAGCAGTTTCCAAGTGGCTCTCATAGAACTAGCATTATCTGTTACAATAGCGGCAAACTTAAAAGGACCAACAAGTTCAATTATATTCTTAAACTCATTATAAATGTACTCTGCAGTGTGAAAGTCAAATCCAGTAAATTTTGTATCATAAAAAATAGGTCTTTGAAGGCAAAGAATAAAATTTAAAACTGATTCTTGCCAGATATTTGACCATCCATCTAATACTAGTGTAATATTCATTGCTTTTTCTAAAATCATATCTAAATTTTGCTATTCAATTTGATATTCAGAATTAAGCAGATTATTAGCCAAATTGCATCAATTAGAACTAATATAAAATGGGTTTATGGTTTTAATATAATGATGCACAGCTTCCATATATTCTTCCCAAAAAGGGTTCTCAATAACCATAAATGGAATACCAGCTGAATAAAAGAATTTGGCTAATATACTATCTACGTCTGATTTACTTAATTTCATTTTATCAGAGTCTTGAGCTTCTAATGAATCTTTTATATTTTTTGAAAGCTTATTACATCTTAATAGGTGCTCTTTTAATTGAGCAATTAAATTGATACAATCTTCTTCATAGTGATTACACTTTTGACGAGATGTCTTTCAGCCTTGTATATTAGTTTCAGTAACTTTTGTGAAGTTCAACCAGATTTCTTTAAAAGGGGTCTTCCACAAGACATAGTGAATAATGATGATTAAATTTTTTAATACTGGTAATCATAATGATAATAAATTTATTTTATATTGAATTGCATCATAATTTTACAATAACAATGATTACATCAGAATGTTTTAAAATATATTAAAAACTATTTTAAACCCAACAAACATGTTTTTTAAGATCACATTTTAAATCATTTGCCATCCCTATATATAGTATTTATATAGTATACAACACTTTCTATCCAGAATATTTCAGTATAGCAAGCTCACATGATTGATTCAGGCTAAGTTCCTTATGTCTAATAGAAAAATATGAACAATATAGACATGATCCATAAATGTCTCCATATTTTGCCAAAACTCACTAAACTATATCAAAAACCTAACTCTACCCAAAACCAAACCTGGCTTTAACATTCTCCCTAATATAAAAAACGTCAGGTATGAAATCACTATTTTGTCAATGAGATTCTAGTAACTTCAGTATCCATACTATTAAACTCTAAATGTAATTATTTCCTTCAAATAATTACTACTTCTACAAGACTGAGTTTTAGTCCAATGATAAATTACTGTTGTACATGTACCTATTAAAAATATATCAAATATAAATCAATGATTTGTGTGTCACACAATACTATTAAATGTGCTTTGAATAAACAATTGATGGATGTCATAAATTTTAAAATATTCATGTAAACCTTTTAAAACTAACCTGAAAGTACTCAACCAAAAATTCAGCAATTTCACT